ATACTGAAGGCTGTGGTCTTTGAGCTTCATCAGTAAGTTCTTCAAGTCTTCTTCACTTTCAGCAAGCAACGCTGTGTCATCTGCATAACTCAGGTTGTTAACGAGACTTCCTCCAATCCTGATGCCCCGTTCTTCTTCCTATAGTCCAGCTTCTCGGATTATTTGCTTAGCATACAGATTGAACAGGTATGGTGAAAGGATGCAACCCTGATGCACACCTTTCCTGACTTTAATCCACGCAGTATCCCCTTGTTCTATCCAAACAACTGCCTCTCCATCTATGTACAGGTTCCTCATTAGCACAGTTGAGTGTTCTGGAATTCCCATTCTTTGCAATGTCATCCATAATTTGTTATGATCCGACTAATCAAATGCCTTTGCACAGTCAATAAAATACAGGTAAATATCTTTCTGGTATTCTCTACTTTCAGTCCGATCCATCTGACATCAGCAATGATATCCCTGGTTCCACGTCCTCTTCTGAATCTGGCCTGAATTTCTAGCAGTTCCCTGTCGACATACTGCTGCAGCCACTTTTGAATGATTTTCAGTAAAATTTTACTTGTGTGTGATATTAATGATATTATCCGATAATTTCCACATTCAGTTGGCTCAACCTTTCTTGGGAATAGGCATAAATATGGATCTCTTCCAGTCGGTTGGCCAGGTAGCTGTCTTCCAAATTTCTTGGCATAGATAAGTGAGCATTTCCAGCACTGCATCTGTTTGTTGAAACATCTCAATTGATACTCTGTGAATTCCTGGAGCCTTGTTTTTCGCCAATGCCTTCAGTGCAGCTTGGACTTCTTCCTTTAGTACCATGGGTTTCTGATCATATGCTACCTCTTGAAATGGCTGAATGCTGATCAACTCTTTTTAGTATAATGTCTCTGTGTATTCCTTTCATCTTCTTTTGATGCTTCCTGCATTGTTTAATATTTTCCCTGTAGAATCCTTCACTATTACAACTTGAGGCTTGAATTTTTTCTTCAGTTGTTTCAGCTTGAGAAATGCCAAGTGTGTTCTTCCCTTTCGGTTTTCTATCTCCAGCTCTTTGCACATGTCACTATAATACTTTACCTTGTCTTCTCAAGCTGCCCTTTGAAATCTTCTTTTCAGTTCTTTTATTTCATCATTTCTTCCTTTTGCTTTAGCTACTCGACATTCAAAAGCACATTCCAGAGTCTCTTCTGACATCCATTTTTGGCTTTTCTTTCTTTTCTGTCTTTTTAATGACTTCTTGCTTTCTTCATGTGTGATGTTCTTGATGTCATTCCACAACTAGTCTGGTCTTTGGTCATTAGTGTTCAACGCATCAAATCTATTCTTGAGATGGTCTCTAAATTCAGGTGGGATATACTCGAGGTCGTACTTTGGCTCTCATTGACTTTTTCTAATTTTCTTCAGTTTCAACTTGAACTTGCATATGAGCAATTGACGGTGTGCTCTGCAGTCAGACCCTGGCCTTATTCCGACTGCTGATACTGAGCTTTTCCATCGTCTTTTTCCACAGATGTGGCCAATTAGATTCCTGTGCACTCCATCTGGTGACATCCATGTGTACAGTCACCATATATGGTGGTGAAAAAAGGTATTTGTAATGAAGAAGTCATTTGTCTTGCAAAATTCTATCATGCATACCTTTGCGATCTCTGGCATCGTTTCTATCACCAAGGTCATATTTTCCAACTACTGATCCTTCGTTTCCAACTTTCACATTGTAATCACCAGTAATTATCAGTGCATCCTGACTGCTTGTTTGATCAATTTCAGACTGCAGAAGTTGGTAAAAATCTTTAATTTCTTCATCTTTGACCTTAGTGTTTGGTGCGTAAATTTGAATAACAGTTGCATTAACTGGTCTTCCTTGTAGGCATCCGGATATTATCTTATCACTGACAGCATTGTACTTCAGGATAGATCTTGAAATGTTCTTTCTGACAATGAACGCAACACCATTCCTCTTCAAGTTGTCATTCCCAGCATAGTAGACCATATGATTGTCCAATTCAAAATAGACAATACCATTCCATTTCAGCTCATTAATGCCTAGGATATCGATGTTTATTTCATTTTTGATGATTTCCAATTTTCCTAGATTCATACTTCGTACATTCCACGTTCCGATTATTAATGGATATTTGCAGCTGTTTCTTCTCATTTTGAGTGGTGCCACATCAGCAAAGGAAGGTCCCGAAAGCTTGACTCCATCCACGTCATTAAGGTTGACTCTACTCTGAGGAGGCAACTCTTCCCCAGTCATCTTCTGAGTGCCTTCCAACCTGGGAAGCTCATCTTCCGACGCTATATCAGACAATGTTCTGCTGATATTCATAAGGTTTTCACTGGTTAATTCTTTTCAGAAGTAGACTGCCGGGTCCTTCTTCCTAGTCTGTCTTAGTCTGGAAGCTCAGCTGAAACCTGTCCGTGATGCATGACCCTGCTGGTATCTGAATACTGGTGGCATACCTTTGCATCACAGCAACAGGCATGCCCCCACAGTATGACAAACTGACAGACACGTGGAGGTGGTAAGGTAGAGTATCAGCAAAAAAAGAAGTCGACTTTTGACCAGATGGATTGACACAGTGTCTACCGCAATGGGCTCAAACACAGTAATGACTGTAAGGATGACACAGGACTGGGTAGTGTTTCATTCTGTTGTACATAAGGTCGCTGTGAGTCAGAACAGACTCAAGAGCAACTCGTAACAACAAGTTATACAATGTCTTTTAAAATTTCAGTCTTTTTTAAAAAAATATTAAATTACTAACTTGTCATTGAGAAAATAGTCTTTGAAATATCCTTACTAAGGAGTTAAATGCTAAAATTCTCTTGACAGACCATATTCTGTATACTAACTAAACAAAAAAATAATTGAACTATTTCTCTTTAATTGAAAACAGTTTTTCTTTAGAGGAGAACGATCTGTCCATCTCACACACTTTCTCTTATTTCAGTAAAGGGTTTAGTTTTACAATTTAGTATTTCATTGCATTTTCATGGAGAGTTGCTTAATTTCTTTGTAGTAGCTTTTGGTCCAATCACTGCTACTGAGTTTCTAACCTAGAGCAATGGAAAGAAGGAATATTTTCTTAAAAATAATAAGATCATCATAGAGTAAATAAACACATCAGCTACTGATTTCAGCTTTAGCCAATAAAAATCTGCTTTCCAGTAGCAATTTAATAGCTGTATTTGGAAAAGGTATTTTATAAGAATAATAAGTAACAAGAATCCTGCTAAGTAGATTACTTCAACAGGGATTTACTTTCTCAGCAAATATCAGAGATAAAAAATAGGGAAAAAAATCAGTCAATTCATCAAGGTTATATTTGAACCAAAAAAGTAATGAATAAGAATTTACTTCTTTACCTAAAATGTTGGGCCTTGATTAAGTCTACTGATTATTCATATATGTATGTATGACAGCTTTTCATAAATACATGAATTTTATACTATATTTCCCATGACATGAAGCCAAACTTAATTCCAATTTTCCTTTGGAAAAATTACTAATTAAGTCATTGATAAAGAAGTTAATATTTACCCACTGGAGCTCAATTATAAATATTATTGTTAATGATCAAATATTACTAATGATCAAATATCCTCCATTATTGTTATATATAATAAAAAATATTTTAACGTGGAATATAAGTTGGAAGACACTTCCAATTAGATTGGAAGAAAGGGACTTTCATTACTTATAGTTGCCCTCATCGATCGATAAAGCTAGTTACAAAATTAACATATATATTGAATCATGTACTTATATACATAACTAACGAAATAATGTTACTAATTTTTATTACATACTATGATTCTCTATAAAATTCTGAAATTCCAGGGAGCAGTATTTCACTTTTTCTGAACTAGCACATATAACTAGAAACAAATGGAATAAGACCATTAGGTGTTTATTCAAACTTTTATTAACCACCATAGTTTCTTTTCAAATCTCAGCTCACTACTTCTGGCTTTACCACACTGTAATAAAATAATCAATGGTTTGTATTCCTTCCAGAAAAAAAAAAAAAGGTACACATTCTATTTTTAAAAGTCTAAAATCAACATTTCAATGATTTTCACACATCCATTTCAGTGGACAACACAGCAGTTACAAAAGATGTGGTCTTGTGTTCTTCTAGATTAAAGTATAATGTGCCTTGCTCTGTGCTGAAATATAAAGAGCTTTCAAGAAAAAGAACAAATCTGAAGAATTCAAAATCAGTATAAAGATTTTTGGATATCTGGCTTAGCTGATTACACACCTTGCCCAATAATTCTCCCAATGAGACATCTTCATGATTGAGGATCCATTTCTTATCCTACAGAAAAGAAAGAAGAACATTTGTTTAGCCCAAGCAAGAGTAAATTTCCTATAAGATGCATTTGAGGCAGTGGGAAAAGGACCTAAAATGATATTTCATTCAGAACATTCAATCAACAGCACACAAAGAAGCTATAACCTCAAAAAGCTGTAAAACAGATCTAAGAAATGTTACTGCACAACACAATATTAAAATCTACATTACAACAAACTTCTATCAGAAATCTCAGCCTTCAGAATGAGTGTACCCTTGTGACTAGAACTCAGGATGCACACTCCCCCACCATAAAGCATAGGCTCTTCTACTATTCGCCATTTCACAAAAAGTTGTGTCATAAGTGCATAAGGGAATTTTATTTTACAGTGCAAAAATTTCCAATTCTCACGTGATCTTAGAGAATTGTTTCTCTATACAAATCACACTACTAGGAGCTGATTTTTCCCCGTATAAACTGGCCATGAGTTATAGCTGACTAAGACACTGCAGGTAGTCCCATATCTTTCCTAAGTAATTTCCTGTAGTATAATAAAACAAAAAACATCAATTACAGTATCACTAGGGTACTGAAGACCAGTGATTCTAACATGCCATTATGAAACAGCATCTCATTATCTGATCTGAAGAAGTGATTACTACTTAGGGAATATTTTATCATCTAAGTATCTTGACTATTAAACCACACAATGCTATAATGTTAGAAAGGCATATAGATTTAAAAAAACATAAAAGGAATAAAACAAGTAAGAAAGAGAAAGGGAGGGAAGAAAGGGAGGAAGGGTGAGAAAGAAGAAGGAGAAGTAGAGAGGGAAGAGGGTTAGGGGGTAAAGATAAGAGAGAGAGAGAATATAAGAATAAACTCCTGGAGTGACATATTTATATTCATGATTTGGACTTGTGTAGTTTCCCCCACTACGAACACAGACTGAACTGTAATTATGATTTACAATATAAATTGTAACAAGTAATCAAATTTTTTAAGTAAAACTCCACCCTAACTCTTATGGATTGAATTGTATTCTCCAAAAAGATATGTTGAAGTCCTAACCCCTGTTGAATGTGACCTTGTTTGGGGAAAGAGGGTATTTCTTTTGTTATCAGTTAAGTCAAATGAGGACACATTAGAATAGACCAAAACTAAAAACCCGTTGCCGTCGAGTCGATTCTGATTCACTGCAGCCCCACAGAACAGAGTAAAACTGCCCCATAGAGTTTCCAAGGAGTGGCTGGTGGATTTGAACTGTCAATCTTTTGGTTAGCAACCAAGCTCTTAACCACTCTGCCAAGTAGAGTGGGTCCTAATTCTAATCTCTTCTGAGTAGTATCTTATTAGAAGGGAGTCACAAGGGAGGACACCATGTGAGGATCCTTCTATAAGGCAAGGATTTTATTTTTAAAGAGGGAACGGAGAGTAATTATAAGAACTGAATACATTAAAAAAAAAAAAAACTTTTCTTTTTTTGTAATTCTTCAGTTAATCAGAATATCTTTTTAAATTGCCTGGAGCAGATTTAAACCGCCTACAGTAGAGATGGAGCCCTTGTAGCATAGTGGTTAGGTAATCGGCTGCTAACCAAAAGGTTGTTAAGTTTCAACTCACTAGCCACTGCAAGGGAGAAAGATGTGGCAGTCAACTTCCATAAAGATTTAGAGCCTTAAAAGGATATGAACAGGCACTTTGCCAAAGAAGATATTCAGGCGGCTAACAGACATATGAAGAAATGCTCACGATCATTAGCCATTAGAGAAATGCAGATCAAAATACAATGAGACATCATCTCACCTCAACAAGGCTAGCATTAATTCCAAAAACACAAAATAATAAATGCTGGAGAGGTTGTACAGAGACTGGAACACTTATACACTGTTGGTGGGAATGTAAAATGGTACAATCACTTTGGAAATCGATTTGGCGCCTCCTTAAAAAGCCAGAAATAGAAGTACCATACGATCCAGCTATCCTGCTCCTTGGAATATATCCTAGAGAAATAAGAGCCGTCACACAAATAGATATATGCACACCCATGTTCACTGTAGCACTGTTCACAACAGCAAAAAGATGGAAACAACCTAGGTGTCCATCAATGTATGAATTGATAAACAAATTATGGTATATCCACACAATGGAATACTATGCAACGACAAAGAATGATGAAGCTGTGAAACATCTTATTAACATGGAGAAAGCTGGAACTCACTATGCTCAGGGAATTTAGTCAGTCACAGAAGAACAAATATTGTATAAGACCACTATTATAAGAACTCAAGAAAAGGTTTAACCACAGAAGAAAACATTCTTTGATGGTTATGAGGGTGGGGAGGGACGGTGAGGGTTATTTACTAACTAGATAGTAGGTAAGAATTAACTTAGGTAAAGGGAAGGACAGCATACACTGCAGAGGAAGTCAGCACAACTGGACTAAACCAAAGCTAAGACGTTTCCTGAATACAACCAAACACTTTGAGGGACAGAGTAGCAGGGGTAGGGGTCCTGGGACCACGGTTTCAGGGGACATCTAGGTCAACTGGCATAACAAAGCTTATTAAGAAAATGTTCCGCATCCTACTTTGGTGAGTGACGGCTGGCGTCTTAAAAGCTTGCAAGCGGCCATCTAAGATGCATCAGTTGGTCCCAACCACCTGGAACAATGGAGAATGAAGAACACCAAAGACACAAGGAAAGCATTAGCCCAAGAGACAGAAAGGGCCACATAAAACAGAGACTTCATCAGCCTGAGACCAGAAGAACTAGATGGTGCCCGGCTACCACCAGTGACCGCCCTGACAGGGAACACAACAGAGGGTCCCAGATGGAGCAGGAGAAAGGTGGGGTGCAGAACTCAAATTCTAGTAAGAATACCACACTTAATGGTCTGACTGAGACTGGAGGAACCCCGAAAAGCATGGCCCCTGGGTTCTCTATCAGCCCAGGACTAAAACAACTTCCGAGGCCAACTCTTCAGACAGGGATTGGACTGGACAGTGGGACATAAAGTGATACTCGTGAGGAGTGTGCCTCTTAGCTCAAGTAGGTACAAGAGACTAAATGGGCAGCTTCTGTCCAGAGGTGAGATGGGAGGGCAGAGAGGGTTAGGAGCTGGTTGAATGGACATGGGGAATCATGGGTGGAAAGGAGGAGTGTGCCGTCACATTATGGGGAGAGCAATTAGGGTCATATAACAATACGTATAAATTTTTGTATGGGAAAAATTTTTAAAAAAGAAAGATTTAGAGCCTTAGAAACCCTGTCAGGCAGTTCTACTCTGTTTTATAGGGTCTCTAAGAGTTGCAATCAACTTGAAGACAACGATGTGGTTTGATCTGGGTTTAGAGTTGAGACAAAGTATTTTTACTTGTTGAAATCCAAAGTACAGGTAGGAGGACATTTTCAACATGTTCCCATAGACCCTTGCTTGTTGAATCTCAGAAGAAGCCTCATTAAATGGGCAGTGTCATGGTTTGAATTATATCCCCCAAAAAATGTGTGTATCAGTTTGGCTGGGCCATGATTCGTGGTATGGTGTGATTTTCCTGTATGTTGTAAATCCTGCCTCAATGATGTTAACGAGGGAGGATGGGTGGCAGTTGTGTTAGTAAGGCAGGACTGGATCTAGGAGACTGGATTGTGTCCTGAGGCAATCTCTTGAGATATAGAAGACAGAAGTGAGCAGAGAGACAGGGGGACCTCATACCATCAAGAAGGCAGTGCCGGGAGCAGAGCGCATCCTTTGAACTGGGGTCCCTGTGCCAAGAAGCGCCTAGTCTGGGGGAACATTGATGAGAAGGCCGATAGAGAGAAAAAGCCTTCCCCTGGAGCTGACGCACTGAATTTGGACTTTTAGCCTACTTTACTGTGAGGAAATAAACTTCTCTTTGTTAAAACCATCCACTTGTGGTATTTCTGTTATGGCAGCACTAGATAACTAAGACAGGCAGGAAAAGCATTCTTATTTCCATTATGCAGATGAGAAAAGCAAGGCCTTGAGAGGGTATTCTTATCAATAGTCACAGGGATAATAAGTGGCAGGGTTGGAATAAGCACTCCAGTCTTTTGTTTCCTGGTTCAGTGTTGCTACATATTCTTTCACCCCTATTGTACTATCAAGAAGTGTTACACTCAAAATAAATCTAAGTGAGATAATTTTCTGAGTCTAAATTTTATATATGGAATCTTGGTGGCACAGTGGCTAAGAGCTCTGCTGCTAACGAAAAGGTCGACTGTTCCAATCCACCAGCCACTCCTTGGAAACCCTATGGGGCAGTTCTACTCTGTCCTATAGGGTCACTATGAGTCGGAATCAACTCAACAGCAACGGTTTGGTTTTGGTTTGCAAACTGTATATATATCATGTCAGGTAACTGAAGAGGAGAATCAAATGATAGAATATACATCTTTAATCTGAATAAATGCTGTGTATTATTTTGCCCTAGGTGTTCATCTACAATCTATGATAAATGAGTGTTATACTTTCAAAGAGTCAGTTCATACCAAATTGTAGAAGTACCTAGAGGTGAAGAAACTTCTCAGGTCCAAACTCTCATTTCATTTAGGTCTATGCCTATTGCATCTAAGATAAAATGGATTAAAAAATTGTTTTTCCTTGAATTATAAAACTGGAAGGTCTACCAAGATGGTCTTAAAATTAAATTATCTTGGGCAAACGACACAGGGACCTGAGGCAACTCGGGCTAGGAGATATGGGAATTCTGCCTAAGGCACACCTTGCATAATCTTCAGTAACACACCTCCTCCCAATCATCTCTATGGCAATAAGATTGATTCCAGCTTGCTTGCCTACCAGAATATCAACCTATTCTCTAATTGCATTATAAGTAGTTGCTGAAGTCTCAATTTAGCAGCCTCTATCTGTAACTGATCATGGGAATGTTGCAGGATCAGGTAGCATTTCGTTCCATTGTGCATGGGGTTGTCATAAGTCAAGGGTCAACCTGATGGCAGCTAACAACAACAGCATTCCAAGTGTAGATCAACATTTATT